ATACAAACGATAAATATGTGTAGAAATAGTACATATCAAAAAAAAAAAAAGAAAAAAAAGTACGAAACAAAAATTCCGGAGAACAGTTTAAAATCGATTGGATAGGATACCGTTTGAGCGATGAAAAAAAAAGCGATATAATATGTACATGTAACATATAATAATAGCAATAAAAAAAAATTAGAGCGAATAAAAAAAATGAGAAGGTGGTTCTTCTTCGCTTGATCGCCGATAAATTGATCGACAGTATATCGCGACAATATGTATCGATATGTTCGTGAAGCGATCACTTTCGAAAGTTCAATTTAGCGTCGACACTGAACGTGCACTTGTGGATGCGCAGCAAATGAGCCTTCATGTCGTAACTTCGACTGAATATGCGCTGACAAATCGGGCACCTGGTTTGCCCCGTATGCAAGTCCTTGTGCAGTGTCAACGACATCGGATGCTTGAAACCTTTCCAACAAATTCTACAGCGAAACAATAATTCTGTATCCGTGGACTGACCGTAGTCATCGTCCGAGACGAGGTCCGCGGTTGCAGGACCGGTGCTACCACCCCCGCCCCCTCCGGTATCTCCTGCTCGTTCTACAAATAAACACAAACACACAAGATCACCTCTATATTATTAACCAGAACAACACACTGTCGCGTATGCAAACTTTAGATATCGCCTTCGATATCTTTCACTTCTTCTGTTTCTTACGCGCGATCGATCAATATTACAGTTTTTTTTTTATTTTTTTTTTTTATTTTTTTTTTTATCGCGAACACGTTAGAAATTAATCAAATTTCTTCCCAAAATTCTCTCTCTCTCTGAATAATTCCGAACAGGCACGCCAGTTGACACGATGTGCGTTCAAAGCTCAAGCTAATTGGGTTAAGTCTAATAATTAAATCATATATATATGTGTGTGTGTATATATATATACATATATATACATATATATATATGTAGAAAGACAGAGAGCATATAACACCACCGAAAAAAAAAAAGATTCAAGCCCGCTAAGGCCCCAGGCTAATACGAAATACACCGAAACAACCAATCACACGATACCTACATAATTGTACACACATATCGAAACATGTTTTTTTCCCTCCCACCATCTTCGTCCCCCCATACATCTACTTATACATTATCCTTCAGAAGGACGCGACACAGTCGCGTCCACGTGGGTTTTCAAGAAAGGTAAACTGTCTCTCCTATTACAATATCACATCGATTCTTTTTTATTATAAGTTTTCGCACGTGTTGTTCCACAATTTCTTTCTTCGGAACCGAATTTTTTTTTTACAACATTTTTTTTTCGCGTTTCACGCTTTCTATACTGACCAATTATTTCGCGTATTGTCATGAAATTATCTTAAAGATAAATATCAATCATATTTTAATTTTAATTTCGAGTATAAAAATTCGAGTATAAAATTTGATCACGATAAAGGATAAAGTTGATTTTAATAAAAATCTATTATCGCTATTAAAATCGCGACTTAATTTATCAATCGGTTTTGATAATATTGCGAGAAATGTATGCAACGATGAATTTCAGTCTATAATATAAGTACTTGTACCGTAGAAAGCACGCTGTACCGTTATTCCGTCTTATGATTAAGTCCATGAAATACATACAAATACAAGAAGCATTCATTCAACACGATTTAGCATTATTACACTTAATATTACGAGATCTTCGGAACATAACGAGAATGATAACGATAATGATAACGTATAAATTTTCTTATATAAAATATTTTTTCTCGTAGTCTCTGAATCGACAAAATCATTATTTTGAGCCACTCATTAAAAATTATCATTTGAAACGAATGTTAATGTGTCGATGATTAAAATAATATAATAGCGTAATACGATTTGCAACATCGAGATTTTATAATTGCGCAATAAACAGATGAAAAATATCGTCGAAAAAACATACTTACT